AGAGATTGTTCATTAGCCTACCCCCCCAAAAAAACCCCATGAAATTCAGGCAAAAAGGAAAATAAATAGGTATTGATCTATTTGTGAAGGTATTTCCAGGTATTACAATAAAGTGGAAAAAAGTTGTTTCCCTTCTTCAGGCAAAGGAAATGGTGAGGACCATCTTTCAAAATATGTTTAACATGAACTGAAATTTAGATATGACATGCCAAACCAGGCAGAGAATCAGGATATGTGCTGAAAATATTGTTATAAGAGTTGGCATAATAAAATTGATACCTTAGTTATTTTGAGAGATTAAATTACAAGCAATAATGTATAGTTTGAGAGTGAAAGGGACCCAGGATAGAATATTGGGGGCGGGGGACCAAAATTTAAATAAAATCAGTAGAAGAGAAGAAGAGGAGGGAAACAAAATGATACACTAGCCTGAATTGTTCTTTGGTGACTCAAGAATGAGCTAATGATAAGTTAATATGTGCCAGTCCGACCTCTGAATCAATTCTATTCAACATGAATCAGTACCATTGTATCTGTCTCCTTCACAGATGAAATTCTAGAAAGAGCATTTAAAGTCCTTTGCCCTTTTACCTCTATCTCTTCTTCTCCCTGAAATCCACTGTGAATGCCTCCTCCATCCTCCTGAAAGGATTCTTCCTAAATTCACCAGTGTTTTAACATTTACCTCAAGTACCTCTTAAGTTAGCAACATACAAGAAAGTCTAGAAACCAGGTGAATCATGTCAAGGAGAAAGGTACCATGTGCATAAGTATTTCTTAGAATTCATAATTTGTTCTAATGATGAAAGATATATCCATCCTTCTTCCCATATTTCTAAAACATTGAAAGTATATATGATATCTTCTTTTTACTTGCATCAAGAGCAGATGACATGATTCCTCCATATCTATGAGGTACAAAACACCTGCATTCTGAGGGAAGAGTGGAAGAAAAGAGGGAGGAAGGTAGAAAGGGAGGGATGGAGAAAAATTTCATCAAATGGGCAACAACCGGCTCAGAGCTCAGTACAGAAGGATTTAGAAATGTCCATCATAGCTGGACATTCTGAAAATATTACTGAATTTACAAACTTAGCTTCAACAAAATAAAAATCTGAGGAATGAGACTACAAGAGAATGAGAATTAAATATATGGTAAAGAGCCATTGTAGATACAGATTTTTTCCCTGGAAGTGTCTCAGTGAAAGAAGGGCCATAAGGATATTTGTAGAATTCATGCAGTAGGAACATGCCCACATCTAAGTGTTCTTTGGATGTTTTTCCATATATTACTGATGAGAATGTAAAATGGTATAACCACTTTGTTTTTGTTTCTTTGTTTTTTAGTTTGTTTTTTAGATTTATTTTTTATGTTTTACTTTATTTTTGTTTTCCATTTTTTAATTTAAATTCAATTAATTAACATATAATGTATTATTGGTTTCAGAGGTAGAAGTCAGTGATTCATCAGTCTTATATAACACTCAGTGCTCATTACATCATGTGCCTTCCTTAATGTCCAACACCGAATTACCCCATCACCCCATCCCCTTCAGCAACCCTCAGTTTGTTTCCTATGATTAAGCATCCCTTATGGTTTGTCTCCCTCTCTGTATTCATCTTGTTTTATTTTTTCATCTCTTCCATTATGATCCTATGTTTCTTAAATTCCACATACCAGTGAGATCATATAATTGTCTTTCTCTGATTAGCTTATTTCACTTAGCATAAAACCCTCTAGTTCCATCCAATCATTGCAAATGGCAGGACTTCATTTTTTGGTGGCTGAGAAGTATTCCATTTTGTGTGTGTGCACACTCTATGGGCTCTTTCCTTAGTTTGGCTATTGTGGACATTGTTGCTATAAACATTGGGGTGCAGGTGCACCTTCCAATCACTATGTTTGTATCTTTGGGATAAATATCCAGTAGTGCAATTGCTAGGTCATAGGTTACCTCTATTTTCAACATTTTGAGAAACTTCCATGTTGTTTTCCAGAGTGGTTGCACCAGCTTGCATTTCCACCAATAGTGTAAGAGGATTCCCTTTTCTCCCCATTTTCGCCAACATCTGTTGTTTCCTGACTTGTTAATTTTAGCCATTCTGACTGGTGTGAGGTAGTATCTCATTGTGGTTTTGATTTATATTTCCCTGATGCTGAGTGACCTTGAGCAAAAATTTTTTCATGTGTTTGTTGGCCATTTATATGTCTTCTTTGGAGAAAGGTCTGTTCATGTCTTCTGCCCATTTCTTGATTGGATTATTTGTTCTTTGGCTGTTGATTTTGATATGTTCTTTATAGATTTTAGATACTAGCCTTTTATCTTATATGTCATTTATAAATAGATGTTTTTTGCAAATGAGGACAACAAAAAAGGAACTGAACTCATAAAAATACAACTTGTGTATATTAATTTACCCTTTGGGGAAAGAGAAAAGAGAAGAGCAATGAGATTCTGCAAGTTATAGAAATGATTTCAGAGGCATTAGGTGTGGATGGACCCAAAAGTGTATCATTTTGAGCTGCTGGGCCCCTCCTGGACTGGGCTAGTGGTGAGGAAATATCTCAGTTCATATTCAGAACTCCTCCTTCCCCACATTCACTGGGGAACATTTTAATTGGTAGTCAGCAGCTTTCTTCTATAATTCAAGCTCAATAAATTTATGCTGCTGCTTCAGCATGAAACAGACCTTGCTGTGAGTTCTGTTGGAGGATGAATCTACCAACATGATCTCAGACAGACTTACAGAATAGGGTCAAATTTGTTTTGCAGGGACAGAACAAAAGCAGAAAAGGCTATCCCAGAGATGTCCATATATTGGATATAGCACCAGCAGCAAATGGATCAGAGTTCATGACATTGACGAAGTTCTGTTACTGAGGGTGCAGACAGAAGAGGCACTGTCCAGCACATGATACCAGGGAATGAGACCAGAATCTCAAGAGGAAGAAAGATGGATAAGAGGTAAGTAAAGAGGGATAGTGCTATGAAGACTGATGATGGTCTTCAGGTGTCTGATAAGAGCAGAACTGGTTCCCAACAACAAAGGGCAAGGAAAGTCTCACTATCCCCAAATTTACCTCATAATGCTTCACTACTGGTTTTTCCAATAATAAGCACTCCTTCTCACCTGCCCTGTACTCACTTATGTCCTCTCCCACCTGCCTTCCCACCATCTGTACCTATCAGGTAATGCTCCCATGGCAGCTCCTTTATCTTGAATAAGCCAGACAATGAGATTGTTACTAAAGGATTCCTATTCTAATTCTGATTAACTATGAGGAAAGAAAAAGTCAACCTTATGAGAAACAATCTGTGACCTATGGATTTGTAATATGAAGCCCTGGAGAGCAAAGCTGTGGAAATCAAGGACTTAGCTGACTGACTAATCTATCCTAAATACATGTTGGCTGAATACAACCTTTCTTCATAAATGATCACTCTGACTATGATCCCTCACTAGAGTTTTAGCTGCACAAACCACAGCTGTTTTGAATAACTGGCATATTTGGTGACATTCAGTATATGGTTAGGTGATTGTGAGCTTGCTGACATAAAGCAACAGTGTTGGAGAGTCTAGGAAAGCATGACATAACTGAACCCTGTTTTTTAAAGGATAGCAAATATTTTTCTATTGTACAACTTGAGAATTTCATGATTCTAGATATGCAATTTTTCAAAGCAATGATCTTTATCAGAGAAGAACTCTCATTTGGGGACTTAGAGCCCAAATTTTTAGAATATTCAGTCATCAGTGAATTGTGGTGATCAAATTATCTTGAGTTGCTTTACAGCCCTTTCCTGAATCATTTCTGGTGTCCCAAGTTCTGCCCTCTGTCTTCCTTTTCTACTTCTAGATTGGACTCCCTTTTAAGGAAACTATCTTTTCACCCCTTTATTTTCTATTCATTTTTGAAGCTTGAGCTCCAAAATGATCGAAGCATTCAAATGATATGTATATTCTTAAACATCAACAAGCTTAAATTTACCAATCTTTGGTAATGATAATTACCAAATTATCATTGCTAATGATAACTCTGAACACTTTAAACCCTAGAAACTAACCTCTATTCTCGCTAGGTTATCCATTTACCTATGTCCTTTAGTAAGCAAGAATGAGTCCACTTGCCTCTACATTGTGTCTCAGATTTTCCTTGCCTCCTAGATATTTCTTGCCTCTAGTAATTGTGAAATGTGTATTACAGAATTTCTGCTATTTTAAGCATGCCACTCATTGGGAATTCCATGTTAGTAATAGAGACAAAATAAAATAGTTTTACTAGTAATGTAAAAAATAGCACGAAACTTTGATCCAGATTGTAAAAATTACATGTATTTGAATCATCTTTTCTCAAGCTCTACATCACATTATTTTAAAAGGACACCCATTCTTATGCAGATATGTAATATATAGACATAGATATCTAAGTGTATTATGCTCTTGGGTGAAGCTGTTTCTATCATTCTTCTCTTCCATAAGAAGCTTTTCATACCAGTATACAGGTTAGAGTCTGATTAGTTGCTTGTCTAAACTAACAGTTCCTGACTCAGGGACAGTGGAAAAAAAAATAGAGCACTAAGGATTAGCTGCAATTTTGGATAGGGAGAGATTTATGAAAATCTGATTAATGTACAATTTACAAACAAAATAAACAAGCATTATTATTTTGTCCACAGGTCCAGAAGGACATATAGAAAGGTCAGCAGTTGATTGCCTTACTCAGATGATCTGGTAGTTCTAATGCATTTGGCCTGCCATGCACATAACCTTTTCTTATGGACTAGTGCGTGGGGATGTCCTTGTCCAAACAGTGATATGCATCTATGGGTCAGTTTTTTTCCATCAATAATATATGTGAAATGGATGATATGGTCTTAGACTTCAGCCAAAATCAGAGAGACTCACTATGATGACTTTGGATGAAAAAAGAAGTAGAGAAGAAGGGTACCACTGACTGAGATACTTCTTTCATTTTCTTCTGGAGACCCAAAGACATTATGTCCATCTCCAACATTACAGTCTTCATGCCTTCTCTGTTGACACTAATAGGAATCCCAGGTCTAGAGTCTGTGCAGTACTGGATCGGGATTCCATTCTGTGCCATGTATCTCTTTGCTTTGATTGGAAATTCCTTGCTTCTCATCATCATCATTTCAGAGCGTAGTCTCCATGAGCCCATGTACATTTTCCTAAGCATGCTAGGAGTCACAGATATTGTACTTGGCACAAGCATTGTGCCCAAGATGCTTGGCATATTCTGGTTTCATGTACCAGAGATTTATTTTGATTCTTGCTTGCTTCAAATGGGGTTCATCCACACGTTTGAGTGCATAGAGTCAGGCATCCTCCTGGCCATGGCTCTGGACCATTATGTGGCCATCTGTTATCCACTAAGATATACTGCCATTTTCACTCACCAGCTGGTCACCCAAATAGGGGCTGTGGTAATGCTCAGGGCTGCCATTCTGGTAGCCCCATGCCTAGTACTGATAAAGTTCCAGTTTCAATTTTACCATACAACCATCATCTCCCACTCCTACTGTGAGCATATGGCCATCGTGAAACTGGTTGCAGAAAATGTGCGGGTCAACAAAATCTATGGTTTGTTTGTGGCATTTGCTGTTGCAGGGTTCGACCTCATCTTCATCACTTTGTCCTATATACAGATATTTTTTTTTCTTATGTTAATCCCCATACATTACATCATTAGTTTTAGATGAAGTGTTCCATGATTCATTGTTTGTGCATAACACCCAGTGCTCCATGCAGAATGTGCCCTCCTCAATACCCACCACCAGGCTAACCCATCCTCCCACCCCCCTCCCCTCTAGAACCCTGTTTGTTTTTCAGAGTCCATCGTCTCTCATGGTTCGTCTACCCCTCCGATTTCCCCCGCTTCATTCTTCCCCTCCTGCTACCTTCTTCTTCTTTTTTTTTTCTTAACATATATTGCATTATTTGTTTCAGAGGTACAGATCTGTGATGCTATGGTGAGCGCTGTGAGTTGCATTGTTTCTAAAACATCTCATTCCCCTAGAGCCCCAGTGGTCTTTACAAAGTAGTATCTAACAAGTTTTTGTCCCTAAGATTCAACAACATTGTGATTCTATGAGGTTTAAGGGGTTTTTTTGCATTATTCCAAAAGTACCTTGGCAGTCACTCAATAAGTCTACATTGTTAACTACACTCTATATGAAGAGTAGTATACAGTGTTCATGAACCTGCTGACCACACCTCAACATACTTCATAATCCATCTGAAAATTATTCGTTTGATTTTCTCTGAAAACATCTTATTTTATTTTGAGCCCATGTGTTGCTACTCTGTTGGGTGGTTGGCACCCAGATACACATTGTTTGTTCTTTTTTCTAGTGTAACTAATTAAGCTATGGATGATTTCAAACAACCACATGACATCACTGATTCCAGAACTGGGAAGAGATGCACACAACCAGCTCTTAAGCCAGTGTGAGCTGACCCAGCACACAATGCCCTCAATCTATACCATTTATTTTTCTAGGATGAATATAATTTTGTGGCAGCCTAATGACAAGTTGGGAGGCAGAGATTCTTTCAGTGCAAAAAGAACAGCTCTACTAAATAGGGCCAGACCCAATGACACAGGACAAAAACAGTCTGACTCCAAGTAAGGCTATGAAGTCTTTCAGGCAGATGCATGTAATGCAGTGTTGTGATACTTGCTCTTGTACTATGCAGAGAAATTGAATCTTTTCCCTCCTTCTATTTGACAATAAAAATTATATCCCTTTTGTAAGGCATAAACATCTTTCAACTAAGTAGATACTGGCCATGAATTATAGTTCCCAGCTGGGAAGTTGATATAGATATTGTGAATGACACTAAAATTTCTGAAAATGAGTATCATCATTTAATTAGAATTTTGAACACTACTGGGACAATTTAATGAGATCATTTGATAAAGGAAAGATTTGTGTCACCAAAGTTCATGTGGGAGAAACTCAGAAAGTAAAAGATTATTGAAGCTCTGAGGTGAACTTTCCTAAGTCAACCCCTTTTATGAAGCCTAAATAAGAAATCAGTATTTCTCTGACTGTAATTAGATTACAGAAATATTTATTTAAATTCTGTCAGCTTTTCTAAAGTGATGTCTAAATATCTCAGGATGTTTCAATTTATTTTTATTGGCTCATTGTTTTTATAAATAAGTATCATTATCTTGTTTTGTATTGTCTTGGGGCACTGTCTTCTTTAGGAATCTTTAAAAGGAGGGTCATTTTGGTTCCCAGTCCCAAAGAGAGACCAGTTTGAGAATTTTAAAGATGCAGAATTGCATTCAGACAATCAATCTTCTAAGTTCTGAGCCATATTGTTCCTCCTTTTTCACCAACCTAAAGGTTCACCAGCCATTGGTGAAAACCAATCACCTAGCTGTTTCCTTTAGTACAAAACAGCCATCCTCACTATCTGAACTGCCAAGATTCCCACTTTAGGACTTCTATGTATGATACCACAGATGATCCTTGGTAAGTCTTTGGGCTTGAGATTCTGCACTGAACGTGGGGAAATGGAACATTGGTTTCAAAGAGAACATATAACCCATGTGATCCAAGAAGATGCCAGGATGATCAAAAAAAAAAAAGCAATGGAATCTTACAGTAGCTGACTGTTCAAATGTGAAGAAGATTTTTTCTCAGGCTGTTCAGAATATTTTTGAGTCAGTTAATCACCCAATGGGTGACAAATTTTAAAGCGAGTCTGACATATAGGAGGATCATAGAGAAGGATCAGGGTTGATCAATGCACAGAAAGCTTCTTTGGTAAAGGTCAGGAAATTATACATGTTTAGACTGGAAAAGAGTCAATAGAAATGATGCCCTCAAGTCATTCAGGGTAAATCTCATCTAGTGACATGCTCATCAAGTATCTGAAGTTAGTCATGGGAAGGACAGAGTAATTTCTATGAATGAATCGCTGGCATTCAGGCAGAATAATACATTTCCTGTATTAGGAACAATATGTTCCTTTCTAAGTATTTTAAATGTATTGCATCATTTCATCCTCACAGTCACCATATAGTGTGTTTCTACCTGTTAACTTTTCCTCAGTAATAAAGAATTGAAACAATGACAAGTTTTAGAACTGCCTGAAGAGCATGCAAAGCTAAGGAGTATCCTAAGGATTTAAACTGTCCTGACTGACTTCAGATACACTCAGTTAACCACCATGTCCCACCGGTGATGTGCATCTTTGGAAGGTGGATTGAGTACTTTTATGAGAAATGAAGAGGTAGGCTCACTAGGAAGAAAAGCTACCTGACATTTGGAGCTGTCCTGCACTGGACAACCTATCTCAGAAACAAAGAGAATCTATCCCTGGGGGCTTGAGGCAGAGATCAAAGGGTGAATGTTAGAGACCATGTAGAGGGACCAATTTCCAGAGATTGTAGGGAGAGTGGATTTAGACCTTAATCCTTTCATTCTTTTAGGTTCTGGGAATCAGCCTGAGTCAGAATTGGAGTTGTAAGTAACACTAATGATTCAGAGCTCATTCTGAAAATGAGACCCCTGATTGTTTTCCTGGCCCCTGAATTTCAAGGGTTGAAGATGTCTCCTCCCTCTTCTAAACATGTACATATTTGTACACACATGATTGCTTCCAGCTTGTCTTTCTCATCCAGTACTGTTACCCTCAACCCAGGGACATCTTAGTCTCACCTCCCATGATTTCCATCCACGAAGTCATCAAGCAGCACAAATATTGTTTCCATGTTACTCCTCTAATGTGTGCAGTTCACTTCATCCTATCCCATCTGGACTATGACAAGTATCCTTCTAACTTCATCTCTCTATGCCAGCTCTCATCTTTTAAGCTACTTACCAATCTACTAGAAGAGTGGATTTTTATTTTTTTTTATTTTATTTTATTTTTTTTTATTTTTTTATTATGTTCAATTAGTCAACATAAAATACATCATTAGTTTTTGATGTAGTGTTCAATGACTCATTAGTTCCATATAACACCCAGTGCTCATCACCAAATGTGCCTTCCTTAATACCCATCACCTGATTACCCCATCTCTTCATCCCTATCCCTTCTGTAATCCTCAGTTTGTTTCCCAGAGTCCAGAGTCTTTCATGGTTTGTCTCCCTCTCTGATTTCTTCCCATTCAGTTTTCCTTCTCTTCCCCTGTGGTCCTCCGCACTATTCCTTATGTTCCACATATGAGTGAAACCATATGATAACTGTCTTTCTCTGCTTGACTTATTTCACTTAGCCTAATCCTCTCCAGTTCCATTCATGTCAATGCAAATGGTTGGTACTAATCCTTTCTGATGGCTGAGTAATATTCCATTGTATATATGAACCACATCTTCTTTATCCATTCATCTGTTGAAGGGCAGAGTGGATTTTTAAAGGAAAAAAAAAAAACCTTGTTATTCCACCTAAGTTTTTGAAATTATTATTATAAAATTGGAACCTTACACTTGTTATTCGTCCCTTTTTCTTAGCCTCAACAACCATCATCTCTGTTTATGAAACAATTGACATGTGAAAATTACTTATTGATTTGCAATCCCACTGTATGTTTTATGCTTCTTTGATTTCGTCCAAAATATTTCCTCTGGGTATGCCCTTCCATCTCTTTTATCTGGCTAAGACCTATTGAAGAATGAGTCCCCTTGCTAGCCAGATTTATTCTGCCTATTTTGAATAAAGCTACAAAACATTGATTCTCATTTAATTAAAGATTATTCCTCTCCAGTATAAAACTCTAGAACAATGGTTAGTAACCAGGTATGTTGTGTCCCTCCCCATACACGCAGGTGACATTTGGCAATGCCTGAGACATTTTTTATTTTCATGACAAGAAAGAACAACTGGCATCTAGTGGGTGGGAGTCAGGGATGCTGCTAAGCCTCCTACAATATAGAGAATTACCCCAGGACACAAAATTTATCTGACTAAAAATGCCAGTTGTGCTGAGAAGGAGAAAACCTGCTTTAGAAGAATATCAATTAGGCCTCTGAAGTTGGAGTTATAAAACCATCAGGAAGAAAAGTAACTACCTTTTTCACATGATTTTTCATCTGTTAGGTTGAAGTCATGCTTTTCCATTTTATTTACCAGCTCCTTTGTTTATTTTCTACCTTCTTCATTTTCTTTCTCATTTTCTGATTACTCATGATACATACTGCTATCGAGCTTCATTTTGCACACTATCCTGTAAGGATTCTCTAGGACAACTCTGACCCACATGGCCATGTTAAGTCTCCCAAATGAATGTTGCTGATAAAGACAGTAGCATACACTTTTGAGCCAAATTGCAGAGAGTGTTAGCCAGTATGTGGATGATATGGCATTGAAAATGTGATTTTATATCAGACATGTAACATACTGTAAATGTGTGTAATGTATGTATTATAATTATTTGGTAAAAATATGGAGGGTATATGGGAGTTTTTCCCATCAGAATTTAAACAGACACAAACTGGTTTAAACACTTTTTAAATATTTTATTTACTTATTTGAGAGAGAAAGTGAGCACAAGCTGTGGGGAAGAGCAGAGGGAGAAGGAGAAGCAGACGCCCTGCTGAGCAGGAGCCCGATGACATGGGGCTCAATCACAGGACTCTGAGACCATGACCTTAGCCAAAGGCAGAAGCTTAACCAACTGAGTCAACCAAGTGCCCCCAAACTGTTTGAAATTTGCTGTATGTTTCTGTACAACTCTGCCTGG